TGCCTGCAGTGTGAACGTAGCCAGAGACTTCACATGAGATTTGGACCATCTTCTGGGCGAAAAGCAGATTACTTCCTACTCGCGAGCACCCACTCTGGTGGGGAAACTTTTTTTTCCAAGGATACAAGCTTTTTCAGAACACTGGTAGACGGCAGCCATTACAGACAAACATGTTTTTGTTGTTGTTCCAGCAGCGGCCCGGTCACATCCTAATGTCATTAGTTCGTTATGATTACTAAGGTGCAGGACTACTTTCCCCCTTTTTTCACATCATGTCGCCTGCTTGGATCTGTTATTATCGCTCTGAAGAACGGAGGAGTGTCAGAGGTAAGCTCGTTTCAACTGCTTTTTATGACGCGGTCTCATTTCCGGACTCAGGCATTTTGTGAATGAAGCCGATATTTCAGTTAAAATACACAAGTAAAAATATGTATCCYAGTATAGTACTACCCCCCAACTTTATGGATGATTTTATGGATTTAATTTTACGTATTATACTTGAATAAATACAGTAATTAATTTCTGATGTATATTTAGGATTGTGTGTCTTACCATTAATGACACTGGGAGACAGCATGGAGGAGTCACGATCGACGAGACGACAGGCACCCTCCTCAGATGACCCTGGCCCTGGCTGTGGGGCCGGACCCTCCAAAGATGTTACGATGTCTGCACGGTCGATGGTCCTCAGAGCGGTGTAKAGGCTCTCCACTGAGAGAAARAGAGGTGAAAATTTAAGAAAACTGYCAAAATAAAAAAGTACTACACTACATAGAAAAACTAATCCAAACAGAAGTTTAGTAACATGAGAGGATTTCAGTTTTCTTATCATTAAAACGTGAATCCATTGTTGTATTTCTTTTCTGTTATGTGGACTGTAGTCTTTTTGCACAGTTCTTTGGGGCTGAACACAATGTGATTACCACAAGTTTGGCTTTATTATCTGTTTAAAAATGGAAATGGTMTTGGACTGACTTTTGGCCCGTTTGCCTTCTCTGCCGACCCATAGGCTAAGCAACGCAGAGCTCTGGTCCAGTAAGGAGTTTGGATTTTCGACACGAATCCTGTTGATGTCGTCAACACCAAACTGAAGCTCTCGTGCCAATTCTGTCAGGAGGAAAATCAGAAAAACAAAAGAAAAATGTAAAAGTTGAGCAAAAGACACAAGTTGTCTCATTATGCCACTTGTTAGGAGCTATACAATCTCACTTTGCAACACTGAATGAACTTGATGTTGAAAAAAGGTATAAAATGAGCAAAACTAACAAAAAGAAGTAAAATTAAATCCTTTTTAACCACTTTCTGCCAGCCTGACCTTRATATTTTGCTCTTTCACATTGTTAATAAAAGGGTAGAGTGGTTGGATTGTTGGGAGCTTTAAATAGAGCTGCATTASCAAAAAACCTCACAAATTAAAGTATTTTCTCTGTTAAAAGTATTTTATTGCAGCAACAAAAAAATGAATGTCTACTTTCATGTATGTCACTATATGTTTGGTTACACTGACACTGTTGCAAGCTAAACATGTAACTACAGTACACACCAAGTGTGTCAAACTCAAAGTTCATGGACCAAATATGGCCTGACACAAGCATTTTATGTGGCCTTCGAGAGCTTCAAAGATGCATAAATATTTTAAAATGAGCTGCTTTAAAACCAGTACTGACCATACACTACATCTTCCATAATGCATGATGTTGTACAGAACTCTGTCCACTAAGACTGTCAGACACAAGAACAGTTTCTTCTCCCAGGCCATCACCACCATCAACAGCTGATAATCAGACATCCATCAGCTAGATCATATACTCTGTACCAGGGCTATTCAACTAAACTGCTCCGGGGGCCACAGTTACTGCTGCTCAACAGCTGAGGGGCCGAACATCCAGCAATTAAAGTTATTATGTAAATAAACTAAGTATTACAAAGATCTGTTACCTTTGAATTAGTTTATTTTGCTGCATTTAATCATTAATACAACATACAGAACCCTATGAAAGTAGTGATAATTACACATTATCAAAAACAAAAAGAACACATTATGCCTCCTATTAGACACAAACAAAATTTTGACATCTCTGATTTGACATATTTTTAAACCAATTTTATTTTCACTTTCATCATTTTATCTTCAACTGTTTGTAATTTTAACTGTCTTGAGTCTTTATAGAAATGGTTTTTACCAGCTTCTAGCCAAGATTCTGATGTTTCTGTAGATACCAAACATGTCTAGTTTAGCTAAAGAAACTTAGAGTAATTAAAGTAGAAAACCAGGGGTGTGGGCTTAAGAGATGAATAAACCAATTGGCGGGCCGAACTTTGGTCACTCGCGTGCCGGATGTGGCCCGTGGGCCGCCAGTTGAATAGCCCTGCTCTATACTATAGAGAACTATCTCTCACTCTTATTATACATTACTGCATTATTGCACCTTATTCATAATAATCTACCTCAACACTGCTGCTGTTATACTAATATTTAATATTCACTTTGCATACTGCTGTCATTTAGCCTTTTGTGAATAACACTGTAAAGCACACCGCACAGATATATCCTGGTATAGTGAAGTATAATGTGTATCTTTCTCTATATTGTGTACTATGTGTAAATTATATGTAAAGTATCTGTACAGTGTTAATACTAGAGAGACATGAACAGCCGGAAACAAATTCCTTGTGTGTCAGCATACTTGGCCAATAAAACTGATTCTGATTCTGATTATTTTACATTTGGAATGACATTATCCCACCCCTAGGTGGACATGCACAGGGTTCAAAAGTTTTGCTGTGGCCCAGTTGTACTGGGAAGTGGGGGGTTTCTCACTTACAAGTGAGAATTCCCTGTCAGAAAGTGGGAGGGTTCAGAATTCAAGATGGCAGCTACTCACCACAACCCAGCAGTTAATAAAACTCTTAGTTTGACTTTTAATATTATTCCTGCATTATTTATTTCTCATTCAGTCAGTCGTACATGCAGTACTTTTCAGTGTTTATTATCGGATGTGTTAAAACTCCATTTTTATGCACAAAATACCATGTAGAGCTCAATCATAATTATGAATGTTAAAGTTAATTTTAACTGGGCCTTTATGGGCCACTATAATACTCATGTAACCCTTGGTGAAAATTTCAACACCCCTGATATGTTGGRCGGTTAAAAGTAATCTGCAATAACYAATAGTGATTTGGCTATCTGAAAGAGTCCACTGTCTCATAGTGGAATATTTCAACCCTTTATGGCTTTAGGGATAGTGATCAAAATGTAACCATTCCCCCAAACCCACCTCAGGCCATGGGCCAAGGSGTAATGGAGCGTATATGGATAACATCTGAGGTCTAGATTAAGTCAGAACCCAAAGCAGTGATGATTGTGGTTGGTTGCTGGTTAGCAATGCTCAGCACATTCAGTGGTCTGCATCAATACCATTTTTAGGTCTTTAGACATKTGAAATGACTTACCCGCCCAACTTAAGCCCAGCTGTTCTGATATAATGTTGATTTTGATCTCAGTCCTCTCCATGGCATTCACTGTTGCTAAYGAGAGAAAAGAGGGAGTTCAGAAACACGAGAACCATGCAACACCCACGTCATCGTCAAATATGTGAACGGTTAATGAACCAAAGAGGCTCAAACGCAGATTAAATTTGAGTTAGAGTACAATAGCCATAATTTCTTTGGTTTCATTGAGACCTGAAAGAGTCTACAGTGACTTAACTTAGTATTGATAACAAAACTTACCTTTTTGTTCTGTTCGGYGAGGTAAGCAATACCCACAACATTGTTTTTAACCTCATAACCACCACTGTTAGTCACCACGTGGGCACAAGAAGTCAGACTTTGGGTTTAGTTCAAATGTTAGTCTCACTAACTGCAACATCCAGTAATCATTACAAAGTAGCAACGCTGTGTATTTGATAGACAGAAAAGACCTTTCCTCTTCACCTTCCATCAGCCATTAGTACYATTTGTTTCCCACATATTTTTGTTCTGTTSGTTTACCACAGTCTGTTTAAGGACTCCTCTGTCTAACTCCACTGTGAGGTCCTGTCCATTCTCACTGCTTAGCTATAGTGCAAATGCTAACAGCATCTGCTGCCATGCCATTAGACATCCCAGTGGAGATACCAGCGTCATGCAGAACKAATCACCGAACTCATTCTAGCTTCCAAGGCACTTAGGAAAGAAAAGGCTCATTCCTCAGGTGCCGTAGAGACATTATGGGCCAATGTTTGAAACTGCTGCTTGTGGTTTTCTCTTAAAATGCACTGCAAATAATTTTGGGGGGCATATCGTTGAGCAGTGCATTGCATTCAAGGCTCAGTCACTGTGCCATGCGTCCACATGAGAAAGAGAGAAAGATAGGGGTGGAGTCGAAAGCAGGGTTTTGGCTGAAGGGCCGTTGCAACATTCTGTGCCCGTCTCCACCAGGTTTTTAAAATCTGGAGAGGGCTGATGGTCAGGCAGTCGCAGACTCACCCACACCAGGCTCGTTCAGTGCACTGTAGCGCTCTCTCAGGGCCAGAGGGGTCAAAGTTCGTCTGCGCTCATCACTCCCAGCAGCCTAAAACAGAGTGAAAAACCTCTTTATATTGATAGTCATACATAAATCCTTTAAACGTTTGCTCAAGTCTGCAAGTTTTGTTTTTACATTGTCTTTTTGCCCATCTTTATACCAACATTTGACCCATAAATTCTAAAGCGATAGTCTGTAGGTAATCTTTGTAGAATATTAGAGTTTCTTAAAGGGGCAATATTATGTGTTTCTCAGGCATATATTTAAATACTATACCATAATAAAG